TCTTTCTGCGTGGAGTTTGCATGTTCTCCCCGTGCAGTGTGGGTTCTCTCCGGGTTCTCCGGCTTCCTCCCACACAGTCCAAAAAACATGTTGAGGTTAATTGGTGATTCTAAATTGTCCGTAGGTGTGAATGTGAGTGTGCTTGGTTGTCTGTCTCTAAGTGTGGCCCTGTGATAGACTGGCGACCTGTCCAGGGTGTCCCCTGCCTTCACTCTAAGACAGCTGGGATAGGCTCCAGCACCCCCGCGACCCTAGTGAGGATTAAGCGGTGTATAGATAATGGATGGATGTTTAGTTTCTCAATGTATGACAGAGAGCCTCATCACTTCAAACTAGAGTTGTAACCGAGTCATCCAGAGTAAATCTGAAACCCGAATAGATTCTGTGTGTTTTTGCTCCTGTCACATTTTTAACAACCAATAAATGAATAATCGGTCGTATGAATTATAAAAAGTCTTGCACCTCTATGGAAACAGAACAATCAGGCTAGAAGGAGATAATGCCAGAAATTACATAAAAGACAAGAAGAAAGTTGAAAAAAACCCCAAAAACAGAATCAACATATACAACATTTTTTCAAGTATTCATAGGTGTTACCAATATATCACTGCTGGGGAAAAATTGTGGCTCTGCATACTGTAGATATTTTACTGTTTTTTACATTTTAAATGTTTTAAAAACTTCTATACTTGTGTGCTTTCTGTGTAAACACAACCTGCAGTTCAGCTATAAAAGGGCCGGAATATTTGCTGCAAGACTCTTGACTTCAGCTGATTTACATTATTCTTTTGCTTCTTAAAGGTGACATGTAGAATAAAGTGATTTTGATGACATATAACAGTTTTAAGCTTAGATTTGGTTTATTTTCCTGCCAAAACCAAAAACGACATGGTTACTTCAAAGACCATTGGAAACTTAAAAATCTACAATTTGTTTTTGTTTTACTCTTTCTGGCTCTCATAAATGACGTAACCATGGCAATTTTCTAAAACAAATTTGCCCTTTAAACCTAATGGCAGGTTTTGGGGTCAGAGAGTTCATATCCAATCAATGTTTTGTTAATATGCAACACCAGCGAAGTGTTGCATCCGTAAGGGTTTGCAGCAGACTGCAAAACTGCAGCCTTCCTCTCTCCAATAATGTTGTAAATCAGCAAGGTGGGAAGTGCAACAGATGATATGTAGGAAAACCAAAACAGCCTGTCAGTATTTGGATCAAGGAAATGAGATTAAGGTTGGGTGTTGGCTGTGTCAGAATAAACTGACCTATAAGCATTCGACATGTGGACGTGAACCTACAAGGAAAGAAGGCTGTCAATTCTAACGATGCTAATGTTAACCACGATCCTCCTGCTCCGTCTGAACAGAAAACACAGCATCACACTCTGTTACAGGTAAGAGCTTATTGGAATATACTAAGCAAAACCACTGTTATCTTACTTTCAGACAAGCTGACTAGTCTAAAGTTAAATTATCATCCTTATAAACTGTCCAGTTAAACTACCCAACAATGTTCCCTAATAATCTTGTTGGTCTTTTCTATTTGCTCTGATAAGACCACCTGTCTTCACTTTATCAATGTTGTATCGTGGATGTCACATCTCCTGTTGGGGCAGCTCTATCATCCACTTTTTTCTGATATTATTAACAATCCAATTACAAGAAATGATGGATTAAATCTCATCGTTCAAGGTGACCAGGGCATCTGCCTGCAGGACCCCTTAACATCTGGAAATCAGCAGATGTGGCCTGATGGGAAAAGTTTCCTAGGCTTCAGTATGACTCTTTTTCAAGTCCAGAGAGTACAAAGTGGAAGTAAAATTCAGAATTTAAAGGCAAAATGTGGCTTATGTATACTGTTAAACAATGGTGGCGACACTTGATGGGCTAATCGGACACACTCAGAGACCCCACAGTGTGTGAAACTCTCTAAATTGATCAAGCCTGACTAGTCTAGTGGTGTTACAAATCTTTTTATTTCCTTCAATTTTAAAATAAACGCAGGCCGGTTTTACTCTTACAGCGGGGAGAAGGACTAGTGATGGCCTTGAAATTCCCTGACAACTAAAATATTGAAGACGACGAGAATACCTGTCCCCTTTTACCGATTTGTCCGACACGAGTCCTGCGCTCGGAGGCTGCGGCTAAAAGGCATTAAAATCCTACAGAAACATACAGTATTTCTGCTCGGGGTGGAAAATGCAGAGTGCAGGGGTGGCAGAAGCCGCCTGCCACCTCGCTTCAGGATGTACGTTTTACAAGGCAAAGTCACACAGGCAGAAATCTAATTCTGCAGCACAGCTAAACACATCTGGGTACAAGACGCATGCTAATCCCAAATGTCAAGGGGACCAGAGACATTAAGTGAACCTTATGTTACAACAGATGCGCCGTACACAAAGTCATAACTGCGGCTCGAGTATATTTAATGGAGCTTTAGATGCAGAACAGTTGCAATTATGCAAATATATACCAGCAAACCAAGAGTTATTATTCTGGCAGAAATATCTAAGCCTTGTAAGTTGTTGGTATGCAAAGAAACTGATTTTTAAAATATACTCTTAGCCCTGCTGATGCATTGTATGACCTGCAGAACAGTGATGTGCTACCGGCTGAACACCTTGCTGTTCTCGAAGCTGCAACGATGACCTTCGCCCACCATAAACACTCTGAAAAACCTTTCAGCTGCTGTCAGACATGTACACACCACCTGCATTCTACATTATTTACCGTGCACAGTAAAATTTCATTTCTGCAAATATAAAAAGTTTCGTTCGCAGGATTTCACCCAAATGACAAAAGCAAGGCTAGATGAGAGCAAGCACGAAAGCAAAGCAAAGCCAGAAAGCACCTCATGCTTGTAAATTTTCCTTTTGTCTCCATAATCTGTTTACTAGCCTCACTAATTGCCACCTTTCACGAGGCAAAAAAGAAGAGCCCGGATTAAAAGCGAAACAGACACTTGGACCGGTTCACTCGTAACAATCAGCAAACCGCTGCAGACAGTGTAGGTGTTGAATAAATTTACTACTGCTTACTTCTGGGTCAGCACACGCCGGTCTAAAGCTCTGGTGTTATTCACTCTAAAATCACAAACACCCTGCTTCTACTTTTGGTCTTCACACAGTTGATACTTTTACAGTTTAACCCTTTGAACTCCAATAAACGCTCGCGGGCTTGAATTGCACGTTGTTTTTTTTCAGAGCCAGAAAGCTTAAAAACAGAAAGAGTTGGCAGATTTTCCACCTTTCCTG